CTGTTGCGTACGCTCAGATCTGTTCGTAGCTCACACGTTCATAAATCCCGATCGTTTAGTCTGGCGTAAATGGAATATACACCAAAAATACACACCCTTTTCTACGCAACTTTCATAAATGAGGGCCAATGTGCCTTACTGGTCTTGATTATAGTTTAAGTGAACTGAAATATCTAGACTTATTCTCACATAGTTATATTGTTACCTGAAATTGTATTTTTACTGAAGTGAAAAGGTAATTTACTATACCTTTTTGAACATATTGTTTAAATCCACAATAACAACACACAAGGAATCAGATTCAGCCAAGCCAAATATATGCACTGAAAAGGTATGGCAGGTATGAACACAGCTTCTTACCGGTTGGTTAGTGAAGAGCAGAACACTGTTGTCCACTTGTTCTGTAAGAAGAGTTCTCCTGTCGAATAAAGGATCATGCGACATCATCTGAAGTGGGCACTGGGTCAAGATGTGAAGAGAAGTGTAGGGAGCAGATGGCTAAATGTTCTGTGGATGCTCCATTAAATACACACACACACACACACACACACACACACACAAAACAAACACAACTAACTCAAATAATGATTGCTCTAATTATCAATAAAAGGTGATTAAACCAATGGGAAACAATAAAATATTATATAGAAAGATTTAAGATAAAAAAATTAAATAAACATATGTCATTACCCGTGCGGACCAAATCCAGAATGTTTTGACTCACAGTGCTGTGCAAAAGTATTCAGATCTCGTTACAACCACAGACAGGAACATAATGTATTACCATTTTATGTGAAAGTGAATCAAAGTATTAATTACAGTTCATCTGTGTGTAATCTATGAGTTTATGAATCATAATCTTATGAGTATGATTACAGCTAATTTGTGAAGGCCTCAGAGGTTTTTAAAGTGCTTCATTGAAGTCTACAGAACTTTGTTGGAGATTTTAAAAGCATGGTTAAATTATACACATATTTTCCAAACTTTAAACATATCACAGAGCACTGCTGAATCCATCATCCGCAAATAGAACGAGAATGGCACAACCGAAAAACCTGCTAAGACATGACTGTCTGCCCATCAGAATGAACACTGGCTTCACTGGTCAGACATACAGAACAGAGGCCAGTGGAAGATCTGCAGGAGCTGCATTCATCCACAGCTGATCCATCTTGAGAAACTCGGTGAGCAGCTCCATCACTGAGCGGCCGTGTGCTCGGGGGCAGGTTGTTCAGAATGACGCAGTGCCAGGCACCACACGGTAAAGCTCTTTGGAAAACAACTCGTCTAGTGTTATTTGATACTAGGAATTGTACAGTCTGAGTAAAAGCACATTGTAGCGAGTTTAGCAACAAACAGGAGTTAAAGGTCCTGCAGCTCACACAATACAGCAGTCTTTAAGTCCATCACTGAAAATAAATGTGTCTTTATTCAAAATGTGAAAAACAACATGTGTTTGCAGATGCAGCGCAATGTCCTGATTAAACAAGCCTGCATCGAGGTGCTGGGTCAGGCGCTGTGTGTCAGCACTTTAGCTGCATTTGGTTGCACACAGAGTAAAGGAGGCAAATACTTTTGCACACCACACTTTTCAGTGAAGTTTTGTGCATTTAACATAAACTAAATTGTGGTCACGACAAACATGTGTAAAAGTTGAATGATTGTTTTACCTCGTACTCGAGTAATTTATAATAGTAATAATAAAAATAATATTAATAGTCTAACTTAAGGGATTTCCTCAATGATTAAAATAAATAAAAAGTAAAAACATATCATTACGTTTTTACCAACTGACTGCCATGTATCGAACCTGTAGATTTGACCAAAAACATTTGAAATAGTTTCAGTGATTTTATCTTCAAAACCATTGTTCATTTCTTGCATTGATGTTGAAGGGAAAGTTGGACAGGACAGCAAGTCTTGTGAATGGTGACTTTTTATTCTAGTCGCTCTACAGAGAGAGAGAGAGAGAGAGAGAGAGAGAAAGACAGAGAAAAAGAGAGAGAGAGAGACAGAGAAAGCAAGAGAGAGAAAAACAGTGCCACTGTACAGAAGAGCTTCTTGTGAAATCGACACAAAAAATATTGTTTTTACTCTTTATCATTTATAATTCTTCATGATGACGTATTCCAGTATGAATTTACAAGCCATGTATACAGGTGTCATTTCTAAATATATTCAAAATAGTTCCTTAAAAGTCTTTGAGGAAGTATTTCTTTTCTTTAAAAAAGCTCTATTGTTACAGCAAACCATAATGAAAAAGGTCTTGAATCTTTGGAGGGATAGCAGACTCAAAAGTAGTTTTCTCTTTTATCTTTTTGTCATCTTTACAGTTGGAGTCTTGTCTACACATGAAGGAGAGGGAGGAGAGAAGCAGAGCTGGTGGTCACCTGCCATTGGAGGAAGAGCGAACTAGAGCCGCCCCATTGGACCGTCCATCCAATGGGGTCAGGCCCTCGCACTCTCCCTTGAAACAGCAGCGTCTTCATGTGTTTGATATTTTCTCTCAGATATGTAAATACACCTGGTTACAAAGTGATCGTTACATCCAAAAAAACGACCCAGAAATGAACAGAAAACATTAAAATAGTTACATCCGGGGTTGCATGCCATCACTCATTATTTATCATGAATTAAAATACATTTTGCTATTAAAAAAAGAGCAGGGTTTGTCATCACAAGTGAGTGCAGTTGAACAGAAAACAGTTTTACATGTGAAAAATAAACATAAAAAGCAACAGATATTTGGCGACAGTGATGTTCATTTTGATATTTTGTACATGTGCATATTGTTCAATCTGCAGCTCGCACAAGCAGCTTGGTAACGATAAATATGATACCAAATAGAAAAACAAAAACGTCAGTCATTGGGCACGCTGTCGATTCCACATAGCTCCCCCAAAAGTACAAAAGTGATATGTTCGTTCAAATATGGACTATCTTACCACAGTGGACCAAGTGGGAGATGGTTCGATAAAACTAGTATATCCTCAATACTAAACACTGTATCTTTGAAGTGTTTCTGTTTACTTGTAATGCAATATTTCATTCAAACCTGGAAGACTTTGGACTGGTAAACATTAACAGGATAATTCTGCTTCCCGCCCGGTCACTTGTAATTATTTTTATATTAATGTACTATCTTATGTAAATATTTTATTTTTATTTTTTTTACAAAAATGAAATGTACTACATGGTGTTGTTTTCCTGTTATGATTGAAGCTCTCCCTATAATGCACAGAATCATCCTGAGGTATTTGAATGGACACAATTTGGCTTTTGAGAACTCTTATCTATTAAGTCAAGTAAACAGATGGTTGCATGATGCTCTACACTTAAATAAAGTTTGAAAAAGTAGCACATAGAAGTATGTACATGTCAAAGTTATAAAAACATAAATGAAATAAAAAGGCATTGAATCTAGGATACACCCAAATGATGTAGCCTCAGGCTAACAGAAGGAGTGCCATGCACACATCTTACATGGTATGGGCTTATGAGGAACACTGGCGTACCATTGCATTCAAGTGAAAACACAGACACAGCGCCTTCTCAAGTAGATCCTCAGGAGGTCCCTGGTTGATTGTGAATTGGTAGAATTGGCTGCATTTGTTTTATTATGACAACCTTCTTATTTTGTTGAAGCATAAAAACAAAACAATATATAGCAAAATGACATATACCAAACACACTTAGATCTGGCATGTTTACAAAAAGAGCAAAAGTAGAAAGGAGATAATAGTCAGTGTTTTAATACCCTGTTTGTCAGTGTTAGGGAGGTCAGAGGACCTTAGCCTCCGATTGCTAGCAAACAGAAAATGCAGTGATAGATTTTTGCCTCGGTCATCTCCTCACTTTCCTTCTAACATGCTCCTGCTCTTTGGAAGCAGGAGCCTCGTTGTGACACAGATTTACTAAGCACAAAGTTCAATGAAACGATTGTACAAGTATCCATCCACACTTCTCTTGTCAATGTTCCTTTTATAAATATGATACGTGTATAGGTCAGTATTTTCAGTTCTCTGACATGAAATAAAAATCTGTACATGCAAAATAATATACTATGGTGTCTTCAAAAGGATATGCTTTTTAAAGCATGGTTGGAAAGGTTTAAACTAATGCTATTATGCTACCAAATAAGCAAACACTAAGTCCTACACATGGGGCTCTGAATGCCAGTACCCCGAATAAATTGTACAGTAGAATAGAATAAAAAAGCAATACTGCAAATATTTTTCTCTGCAAAGTGCCAGAAAAGAAATGCCCATCAGCCTGCTAGTCCGTTCATTTGTAAACTTCTTTAGGACACATCCTATACATTATTCTTCACTTTCCATCTCTTTGTGTCGCTGGGGTTTGACACATCAATCTATATTCTTACAAGTTATTTGATAATATTTTCCTAAAACACATTAGATCAGCCCTCATCACATTTGCCTCTCTTTTCTCCTTCTGCCATGAGTCTCGATGGCCGTATTTGTCAGAGTAACCGTGACTAGCGCACTGTGACGTCCAGGCCCTCAGGGAGGCCCCATGTCTGGCCTCGACATCTAACGTGCCCATCTGGTTTCTTGTCAGGCCTTTTATGCTTAACCAGCCTGACAGCAAAGGCGAGCCAAGGAGCACACCTTTTACCCCATCCTCAAAAGGTGACAAACTTTACAGTTGACAGCTCAATATCAATAGTACGTATAACGTTACACTGATCAGAAACATTTGACAACCATGTGCTCTTCCATAACCGGCTCTTTTTATCCCTGTTTCATACAGCACGCTCGGGCCATGAATCCAAATAGGCACATGGCCAAGACTGGACAGAAATCAAAATATCTGCAGATAAATAGTAATCCCACCACCTCTGAAGGCATGAGTTTTTTTTGGATTGGGTCGTAGAAGAAAGATAGTGGCTAGGGTATCCTTCAGTGGATAACAGAGTTGATAAAATATAATACAAAGCCAGAGAAGAGTTAGGAGCAGAAATGACATACTTCGTATATCAGCTAAACATCCGACTCAAGACTGGGGACTTTTTTATACAGCCGTCTATTGCTGAGCTGGGCTGAGTTTAGGACACCGCGCTGTGCAGGGTATGCACTAGTCTTATTGGCTGAGTAAGGCATTGCATGCTCCTTAGTGTACATGTCATTGGCTATCCGTCCGTCCCGTGAACAGTATGAAGCATTGGACTTAACAGAGGAGCGGAGATTGTTCGCATCACTGCGTGGTTGAATGGGAGCTGATGTCAGCACAGCTGCAGGAGAGGCTACAGCCAGCTGTTTGTAAATATCTGAGGAGCTTCGCCCATGTACCAGTCTGCTGCTGGTGTCGTCCCTTAGTGAGTGGCTGAGGAAGGGGTTGTCAGAGGCATGAGTGGGGTACAGGGATTTGCTCCTCTTGCTCTCCTCTAAATTATGGTTAAACATAGATTTGGGGCCTGTGCCAAAGAGTTTGCCAGAGTAGGGCCGCATGCCAAAAAGATTGGCATATTGGGAGTCGGAGGCAGAATCCAGGAAACGATCCTTCTCCTTGAGACTTACGCTGCGTGCAGGTCGCCCCTGGTCTGAGTCCTTGGGTTTTTCAAGCATGATGTTGTCAAAGGAGTGCTGCCGACTCAGCCTTAGGCGGTTTCTCTTTTGGACATGTGGCCCGTCGGTTTGGGGCCAGTATAACCCAAACATCTCGTCCTGTGTCTGTGGGTGCTGGAGGTGCATGGTAGGACTGATCAGGGATTCAGCGAGTAGGTGGTCCTCACTGATATCATACAGATTTGCTGTGTGGAGGCAGGCTTCACATCGATTGTAGGGGGAGCGTGTAGCAGACCCTGAGGAGGGATAGGATCCACCAGCTGGATAGCTAGTTGTCATTTTAGACAAGCAAGCGCGGCAGTGAGTCTGTTTATATCGATCAAGAGTTTCATGTGGTGACAGAGAAAGGTTTTTCTCCTTTAGACTGTAGTGTTTTGAGTATGTTTGGTCTGGCAACATATCAGAGTCTGTGTGATGCATTGGGGAGGAATTCAGATGGATAATGGGCTGGTCACACTTCCTGTAGTTATCGCAGTGGTCACTATAGATCTCGGGGTAGTCCAGATCGTCAGCAGCCAGCCCTCTGCTCTCACGATACTGAATGGGATCGGAATGAAGGCTCATTTCTCGATCTGATTCTATAGTGTAGATTTTTTCTCCAGGTCCCCTCCCGCTTTGGTTAGTTCCACCGCTGACCTGTTTAGTTTTTAAGTAGGACAGCTCCACCTCGCTGCAATCCCTTGGGTATTTCGTCACCGACCTTTTTTTTAAGTTGTCCTTGGACTTTAGATGCTTGTTGTTTTCTGGGTCCTTGTAGGAAGCAGCTCTGCTGGAACAGTCAGAGATGTCCGAGTGGGCTGTGTCCTCAGGGAGGTATCTCTGGGTTTTCATGGACAGTCTGGGATCAGGCATGAGCATGTCGGGCATGGGCGCAGGACCAGGAGGTGCTGAGCGAAGTGTGTCCACAGACTTCTTCCACAGAGTGCGGGGCGGCTTTGCATTAGTCTGGACCGAGTCAGCACTCACTGCCACCTCCACCGAGTTGGGATTGGCATCATTCAAGGTCAGTGGATGCTGTCCACCCTGGAAAATGTAATTGTTGAGGTGGTCTTTGTGACGGTTGGCAAGATAGGCTTGTAAGTCTCCAGTATCCCCGTAGATCATGTCTTTGGGAGCGTAGCTTCGGTTGTCAGCATAGATGAAGTTGCCCTTCTCTGCCATCATGTCCATGATCATGGGACCAGCTGAGTGCATGAACTCACGTTTGGGAGAGTTGGCCGCAAGGTTGGCCATGTTGGACATCTGTTTAGCTGACTTTATCAGCTTAAGCATCTTGTCCTGAGGACTGAAGTCCAGATCTGTCTTTTTCTTCATGTCAATATGTACGCCATGGATACAACTCCATATTCCCTGTGTGGGGTGAATTGAAGAGTGGCACAATGGAGAGAAAGTTGAAAAAGAAAATAAAAAAGGTTAGACAAATGAAATGAGAAATCATATTAAAATCAACATAAAATGAAAATGGGAGATGAGGGGAGAAGAAAGAAACTGTTACTTATTTGAGATTCGGAAACTTCAAAAAGTCATCAGAACATTACCATCAAACAAAAGTTTTGGACTATATAAATCTCTTTGTCCTTCAAAGTAGTGTGAAATAAAATGCAATACCAAAGTCTGTTGACATTATACTGTAACTTCTATCTAGTTATGCAAAGCTGTAAACTAAGATCTGCAATACCTTCTCTCAACAACCAGGTCAAAAACAATTCTGTTTCGTTGTGCACAACTGAAGGATTTTAAATTTGTATCTTTCTTTTTAAAGTACTGTGGTTATTTATGATTTTAATGCAATCTTATTTTGTTCAGCACTTTGAGTTGGCTTGTGTCTGAATTGTGGTATACAAATAAACTTGCCTTGCCTTGCCTAAAGAACAGCAATGTCTACTACAATGCATTGGCTTTCCCCAATACACTTATCCAGAATAAACGTATCCGTATTTCCAGATTCTCACCAAAAGAAGAGGGAATACATTTTTTTAAAAGGGGTGCATGTCATTGCCCTCACACACAATTCCTGACCTTTAGAATAATGGGGAAGAATTGCTTTCACTCAAAAACCATAGTAATCTATTTTTGTCATCAGTGAGGTCTTCTTGTGATCCCTGCCTGTACCATTCTCCCTCTACGCCTCGTTCTCCTTCTCATAGCTTTACTTCATAGACTGTGCATTGTGTGGTGGCTCTGCCGTTAATACAGCATCCTCATAGACCTATCTGACCCAAATAAGGGATTGCCGAGAGATGGTCAGTGAAAAAGTATTTAAAACTGTGACAAATCTTCAAGTAGTTATTACATTGTTTAGCAAATGGATGATTAAGAATACAGTATTTTGGGTTCGCAGACAGGTAGGATATTGCTTAATTATTTTCACAACTCCAGGTCAAACAAAATGTGCTCCAAACTGTATCATCAGGAGCACTAGAGTAGTACAACACGCACTTCAGTTTAAATGATACTGGGAACTAATGTGAGAAAGACGCAGACTAAGATAAGGCCAATGGACAATTATGTAAAAAAAAAGTCAATACCAAAGTTGCTTGTTGCTGTGTTTGCCAGCACAGTATACTTTTATCTAACTATTTAACTAGAAATATTATTCACTTGGGTTATCATTGTTTGAATTTTGTCCGTATCTCACAAAGACTGTATAATTAACTTTAAAACTTACACGACTGATGGAGAAGAGAAGCCCGGGTGTTCCGGAGCAGACCCCGGTGAAGCAGTACCGCAGTCTCCAGTAGAAGAGATGCTCAGAGATGAAGGTGATTAGGGACAAGCCCATCGCCGTGGCCAGCATGTAGAAGACACCCGCCATGTTGTCTACATCCAGCTGACTGGACATCACCTCGTTCTTCTCGTTGTGGCAGATCCCTGTCAACCATTGGGCCTCCAGTTCCTCCATTTCACCTAGTGCACGATATAGAAAGTGTCAGAAGAAAGATAGACTCCTAGTTAACATAGATTGTGGAGAAGAAAGACAGAGGGCTAGGTAATTGTGTTGCTGAAACTGCAGGTGTGGGAAGGGGAACATTATTGCTATTATTATTGTTATTTTTTTAATGTAATAGATTAGATTAGATTCAACTTTATTGTCATTTCAAAGTCAGAACAAAAAGCAGTTAGCATCTAACCAGTAGTGCAATAGTGCAAGTATAGGATAATATTTACAGCACAGATACATTTATGCGAGACTGAACAAAGCTGATATTCCTCATGTATAAATTAATTACATGACATTACATTAAAGTTCATCTAATGAGCTTTGACAGGGTGAGAGTTTAGGAGTGTGACTGGTCTGTGATAGAAAACTGGTCTGCTCGTCCTGGTCCGGAGGCTCCTGTATCGGGAACCATAGGGCAGAAGGCTAAATCAACATATATACAGTACTTAATCAACATTCTTTTGGGATTTTATTGTGTAAGAAAACAAACATCACTAGATTATCAATTAAGGGCCTATATCAGGATAATCAACCTGGTTCCAGAAATGTGGCTGATGGATTTTATTTCAAGCAGTTTCTACAAATACCCAATACAATACATGCAATAAGAAACTGATGGAAAAGAGTTAAAGTGACGAGTTTTTCAGAGTGAATGATGTGGATTAAGAGGGCATGATCAACAGTTTCAAAAATACATGCTTAACTTGTAGTTTAATTGGTTTGAGATGTTAAAAATTTGCTAAGAAATATGTTTCATTCACTACTTTATAGAAAAAAACTAGACACAGCAGCGGATACATTTTGCTGCAACGGGGAGTAAACTACGTCAATAATAACAAAATACTTGAACATCAAACTTGCAACAATGTTGTGCTATATTCAGTGGAAAACGCTTCCAAATGTTGTTTTCCTTTCTTTTCTAGTGGCTGTTAAAGTAAATTCCCATTTCTCGAGCATCAGTGCGTCCCCAGCATCTACGCGCTGCCTGATGGAGCCCGCAGATTGTTTCCTTAATGAAAGAAAGGTAGAGAGCAACAAAGACCTTATCTCCGCTCATTCCTCACCCCGTTCTCTTGGGCTCCCTCACTGACATTCTAGTGCTTTGCTAATCCAATCGCTGTCATTCAGGCTGGGGACGGCTGGGGAAGCCAGTGGGGCAAAACAAATATCATGGTGGTGCGTTGACTTAAAGGGGATGGACTTGCTATGCTAAATCAAAATATACATTTGATGTACTGTATATACCAAGGGTCTCCACCCTCAGACTCACCTTTTTGTAAGAAATTACAAGTCTTATTTTATGTTTCACATGCATACAAGTTGCAAATATTTCACTTTTACTGTGTGCACTAATAAATGGATAAAGGTTTGTCCTTGCAAATGGTAGCCCTCTGTGGAAAAAAGGCAGAAGACCCCTGGTGTATACTGTATATTTTAAGTGATTTAGCATATTGTACACTGTATATTAGCAGAGTGGCTGGCCTCTCCCTTATAGATTGGGTGAGGAGCTCAGAGTGGAGCTGCTGCTCCTTCATGTCGAGAAGAGCCAGTTGAGGACATAAGTTCCGGATGCCTTCTTGGGGGCAGGTATGTCCCATCCGGAGGAGATCGTGGGAAGACCCAGAACACGCTGGAGGGACTTTTCCAGTGAAGGCCTGGTATCTTGGATGCAGGTATGGATCATTGAATACATTGTTGTAGATAAATAAATATATTCATAAATATATATTTCTGATTATGTTTAGGCAGCAGAGAAGACCTCTCTGGCCTTGAGGGTTGACCACTGGGTAAAATATGAATGATACAGTACAGTTGCAGCAGCATAAGTGTGTGCAGAAAGGTAGCAGAAGATGACAGATTGCATGAATGCATAAAATGATCAAATGATTGATGATTTATGAGAGGCCTTCAAATAGATGTGCCATGGCTTAATCCTCTTTTTGTACAAATAAACGCAATGACCGGCCTTTTTATTGGCTAGATTGCCCTACTCTGGTTCAACTAAATCAAAACCAAACCGGCTTCAAGCAACAGACCTCCAAGATGTCAAGATACTCCACCCATATTGTCTAGTAGGACTCTAGAGCATCTGTGTGTTGTTGTTGATCAGAGGGCCCAAGGTACATACTGGTTGCCTCGGGGCAGCTGTGGCCACAGTAGTAGCTCACCTCCACAGTGTATGGAGTGAATGAAAACCGTCATGTGAAGCATCGTTGGGTGTCATAATGTTCTTTATACAGTATATAGAACTTACTTAGTGTGCACGTACAGTATATGTATGGGTGTCCAAACATTTTAGTAAGAGTTCCCAGATTATATAACTGTTTTACCAGGATTTGGTCTGTTCTTTGCATAATTACTAGCTACGATTGTTCGCTGAAGTTGGCTGAATGACAAATTCTCATCTCACCAGCCATTAAGGCTGGGTTCGAATCCCAGTCAGAACAGGGCCTTTCTGAGTCGAGCTGAGTGTCTGCTTAGGTTTCCTCCAGATGCTCCTGCATTTCCCCTGCCACTAAAAACATACACATCAGGTAAATCCTCCAGCTCTGGCAGTCCTGACCAACCCTAGCATCATGTTCCTGAGCGCGGTACAACAGCGATCACTGCTCCTGACGAACACCCTAGTGGCATTTGCTGGATGGCTCAAATGCAGAGGACAAAGTTCCGTACAGGGATAAATAAAGTCTACATATACATACATTCCAAAAGTTCTGAGCTTTACAGTGAGATGTACCATGCCTATTTTGGCTGAGCTGAAGTTGGCTGGATGACACTGTGAACTTGTGTTTATGATTTATGTGGAAGCCAGGCAGAGGGCCACACATAGTCAGCCTGTCCCAGGGGAAAACAGTGACAAAGAGCCTTATTTAATCACCTCTTGTGAGAGTTCAGTATTTCCTTGTGTTTTTTTGAATGAATTGTTTTTCAAAGTTAGTATTGTTTTTAATGTGTAAATCACTGTAATGAAACCAATTATAATTCAGACGGTTTTACACCATCACACGAGGGAATGTATTGGAATAACTCAACGACCGGGCTGTAGCTGTGTTCAGAGGCGGCTTTCTAGTCCAGAGTAACATCAAAGCCGTGTTTATGCTTTGTGCTGTCAGCGGGCCGTGCAGAGGGGACAGTGAGAGCATACAGAGGAAGGAATTACAGAGCTGGCACAGGAAGCTAGCTAACCTTTTGGCTTCGCATGTGCCTTCTCCGCTTTGATTTTGTATTAGTGTGTGCCAGGCTGTATGTGTCGTCTGTAAGTGAAATATTAGAAGAAGATCATAGTGAGTGTGGGAACTTCGGATGAGAGATCTGAGCTGGTCGTTTTAAGAACAATTGGAATAATATGTTAAACAAAATTATGAACTGTTCAACAATGGGGTTACAACAGACATGAACAAGATTACTACGGGCAGCACGGTGGCGCAGTGGTTAGCGCATGTGCCTCACAGCAAGAAGGTACTGGGTAAGATTGCACCTCCAGGCATTTCTGTGGGGAGTTTGCATGTTCTCCCTGAAGTCTGCGTAGGTTTCCTCCGGGTGCTCCAGTTTCCCCTACCACTGAAAATACATGCAATAGGTCTGGCTTATGCCTCTTGTATGGCATCCCCCCTATCTCTATGTAGTGCCAGAGGACTAATGCCCACAACAATTGTAAAGTACTTTGTGGCTCTGGTCTGTGAAAGGCGCTATATTAAATCTATTACTAGAGGTAGCATTTTACACTTTCTGTGGAATAGAGCCCTTTATCTCCAGTGATTCCATGTTCCATAGTGCAGCAGAATGGTTATCACTATCACTTCGAAATCAAAATGACCAAGTAGCTAGAGCAAAATAAAACTTAGCCACCTAGTGCCTGCAGCCTAGATGTGAATGAAGCATCTAATTTCACTTGTTTAAAAGACAGTTCATACAGTGTGTTTATCTGTGACTCAGCAAAGCACACTTCACTTTCCACTGAAGTCCTTCTCGCCTCTGCACACTGTCTCCCTCTGAGCCCCTCCCTCACACATCCATGTGTCAATCAAACTCACTGATTATTGGTCTATGTTTCCATAAAGGTGCTTTGCATGTCCCTTTATAGTGAGCAGCAGGTTTCAGAAAAGCAAATGTGGGACGAGTTCATGGTCTGCTTTTGAAATCAGGAAGTGCAAGTGGAAGGTTTTATGCATCTGATTTTGTTATTACCTGAAGTTTGTGTTTTTTCAGTTTGCACAGTTTCAAGAACAATTTGAACCACTCTTCGGTAAATAAGCCTCAAGCATCCACCGCCTGAGCCACAAAACCCTCTTCTGCTCTGAGAGCTTCTCTCTCAGGGGCGGAGGGGAGTGAACAACGTGATTGCCATGAAAGCCCAGAGGCTGGATACACCTATATATATATATTTTTTTCAAAACATGTACATAGTTTTTTTTAGCGATCTCTGGCATTATCTTGCATAATATGGAGATTATATTATATTTAAGGATGGAAAAAGCTTTTCAAAAAAGTGTGGTCTGGATTTTAGGAAAGACATTTATTAAAATTGGAAATTATAATAATTGGTTAATGCAGATTGATTAGCACATGAACCTGTTAGACATATTCTAGAGCAGTGTCTCCCAAAGTGGGGTCCGCGGCCCCCTGGTGGGCCGCGAGGGTACTGCAGGGGGGCCGCGGGAGGTCATAAAAAAAAATAAAAAAATAATATAATTATTTAATGTTAAATTTATAATGTTTTGTTTGTAATGTTAAAATATTTGTGTTCATTATTTGACTTGAATAATCCACTGTAATCATTTTTGTATTACAATGTTTGTAGCAGAGGCTATTTCCCCAAAATAAAATAACCAGAAGAGCCTATTCTTAATGTTGTCTTCTTGGTTATTATTTTGGGGGGCCACGTAGACCCGTCAGATTTTTAAGGGGGCCTCGGTGTTACTGAGTTTGGGAATGGCTGTTCTAGAGTATAGAATAATGTAGTGTACTGTTACGTGGTATGTTAGAATATGGTTTTGTGTTTAGACCAGTGTGCCTTGAGATGTTGTTTGGATCATTTCAAAAGGCACACCAATCACCTAATTGGCCAGAATATTGTTAGAAGACTTGTTTGAGCTTCTTTGATTTTCAGTATAATACACTTTCATGAGAATGAGTTTGTTTAGTTCATAAAGGATGCATAGTTTCAGATTGCGGTGTATCATAGGATTGTTCTTAATGAAAAAAGTGTGCCACTGCGCAAATAAGTTGGGGAACACTGGACCCTCCAGGCTTTGGACCTAACCTATGCAAGAGGCAATTCACAAATAGTTATGAACATGAAACTCTCTCTGGACTCTTGACCCTGGTCTAGAAAAGTCCTACTGTTGCCGGGAGGAGGAGAGTTGTGGCTCGAGCTGAGCAGCTAGATGCAGCAAGTGCCAGTTTAAATGCAGTCAAATGATTGACAGCAAAAGGTGTGCAGCAGGAGGACTGCAGTTGAAGTACCCAAGGACACCAGTCTTCCGGTCTGAACATTCACTTTAGCTTCGTATTAACCACATCAAAGCTATCGTTTTTGTAATTAACAATAAATCAGCACAAACACATGTCTGTACCGTCGCCGATGATGGCCAGAATAGCCAGATCCACTTGTCGTTTCCAGTATGAGCCTTTCTGGAGAGCGATCCCATATCCAGTGGTAGCGAAGATGTAGCTAAGAGAAAAACAAATATGTTAACCTTTATCAAGCGGACAACGTCAGGGCGAGTTAGAATGCATGAGCCTAGAGAGGTAGCTTACATAAAAATGGTACAAAAAGACACAAAACAAAAATGAGATCTTATTCTTGTTTATATTTTAACTTATTTAGCATTGTTATTTTTTGTATGAAAAAAAAGTAAAGTGATTAAAGGTCCAATATTATATATGTATTTTTTTGTGTGTGGAAAAATTTGACTATCAAAGCCCACTGAAATAATGCATAGAAAATAGTTAGCGGGAAAGTCGCTGGGAAAGTAAATTATTTTATGAGGAAAATTGGATGAGGAAACAACCGCAATGTTACAAACTTATAGGGCTGGAAAGTCTCGTCCCAGAAGCACTTCCGGTTCTTTACTCGGATACAAACAAACCGTCAACTGTTCGAAGAGGCGGTTTAATGGAATGGTGCAAAATGCTCTACTTAGTTTTCGGCTGTAATCATCAAAGTTTACGCAACGCATGCTCATTTTTTAGGTTTTCCAAAGACCAACTGAAGCTGTGGGAAAAGCTATGCAGTTCTGATAAAACATGTTGTCTGATTTTACAGACTGTTAGCTTGAATATGTATTCAAGCTAACTTGTAATGCTAACCTGTAAATCAGGCATGTCAAAGTCAAATACATCAGAGGGCCAAAAAAACAAATTTGCTGCGAGCCGAGGGCCGGACTGGTTCAATGTTTATTAACTCATTGCCTGCCAGCCTATTTCAGAACAGGTACTCCCATATTGCCAGCAGTTTCTGATGATTTTTATAGATTTTTCAAGAACCACAGAATATTGTGTACTATGACTATCTGAAATCCGAAACCAGATTCTGAAAGAATAGACTGTCTACTTTCATCAGCAAAAATAATTTTGTTTCTAGCTTGTAATCCCCAGTTGAGTAGAGGGAAGTCTTACTGAAATCACCAAAAAGCTGAGAAAAAAGAGGCAAAACAAGTGCATCTAGCTGTTTTCAAACCATTCAGAGAGCGCTGCTGCCACCTGCTGGCTCGATTCAATATGCTCTCAAGCTTATCCCCAAACATATTAGATATAATAGACATCTGGGAACATGAAAATAGCGGAAAACGCAATTGACGTAATAGTGCGTCAATGGCAGGCAACGGGCCATGTAAAATTCATTGACTTTGACACATGTGCTGTAAATAGTGCGCGGCTGAGCCTTTAATTGTGGCTTGTATTTCATTTATTTGAGCGATAAAGGAGGAACAATGCAATAACATTTACCAAATGGTCAAATATAACAGAAAATAGCCTTGATGATGAAAAGCTATCGGAAGGTACTCGTTCATAACTGACAATCATAATATTAGTATTAAATGAATAGGTAACCCAACTATATCATGTTAATTTTGTCAGGACAGCAAAAAAGAAAAAGGCCCAATGTGAAGCTGATGAACAGATAGAAAACTATGATACATTGGCTTACAACCAAAGCAGCAAAGATACAGTAGCTGTGAGTGACGACATCAATGTATTTGCATGGGAATAGTGGGTCTATATTTTCTTTCTGATGCATAATAGTGGATTAAAACAATGAGTTTGAACACGGCCGTGCACCTTTCTCATCTCCTCGTTAAATAGAAACCTCAGGACATGGCCAGAGTTCACAGCTGATTCCAACCACTCACTCAGTTTTTTTGTCCCAGAGATGAAATGTGTCCAAAACAACACAGAAAAATCCTTTAAGGAGGAAGAAGTTGGCGATCTCAGCACCATACAACCGTCACGTGTGGTGTGATTGTATCCGCGGGTGGAAATCTCGCAAAATCTCGCACTTCCGCTTTCCAGCCCTATGTCCAAACAAAATGAATACTGATACTACAGGTATTTGATGATGGAGAGGCATAATATTGGACCTTTAGGGTATACCTTTTCAGGAACAGGTTTACTCCATACCTTCTCTGCTTCGGCCATGGTTGAGCGTACTAAATGCGTTCTTTTTATGAATGCTTGATGATATCCAAAAACGGTTGTTGTTGCAAGTTATACTGATATGTTACGGTGGGCTTGTTGTTCTATACCCACTGTTTTTATCCTCGCCACGATCTTGGAGCGGACGGTTTGCAGTCTTGTCTTTTCAACTTTACACATGCAGCTGCAACATTTGTCAGCAATAGAAAGTAGAGAGACAGACACATGATCCTGATGTAAGCACACTACAATGGCATCCGTTTGGGATGGGGAAAAGACTGGTTAGAAATGCATTGTTGATAGAGATAGATAGATAGACAGATCTATAGATGGACAGACAGATGTGGGTAGAGAAATAGATCGATAGGTAGGTAGACGTGTAGGGAGATGGAGAGTAAAAAAGAGAGAAAAATGAAAACAAAAGAAAGAAAAAAGAACACAATAGCAATGTCTTATCAATCGATACTAAACATTCTTAAAATTACTGGTTCAAACAATCTCTGTATGTTAAGAATGAAGTGCCAGCCACTTTGAGTATCAATATGTTATATTCCACAAGTTTCAAATCAAAATTGTAGATTTCCCATAGAATTTAAAGGAATTCTATGCAAATTCTACAACTTTGAGTTGAAGTATTTGGAATATTTGGCCCTATAGCAAGTGCACTTCCTTTTTTCTTTCAGAGATTATTTGTACCACTATGAACTAGTATAAAAATCGCACTAATTAGCTACACTACAATGGACTTCTCATGTCAAAACATGAGAATGTAAAACCAAAAGCATTACCCGCTGCCTATGGTCACCAGCTTACAACCCTCGTCTCTGCCCGCCATGTAGTTCAGCACTGCAGCGTCATAGATGAACGCATCCAGTTTCCTGAGGAAGAAGCCAGAGCAGAAATTAAGGAAACACAAAGCAGACTATGGGCGGGGAAACGACTGAGACACAGGGGCTTTTCGATGTTTATAGAGCGTGCCAAGTACACAGGAGGAGACAAAAGACTGCAGAGCGTCGCGGATCAATTCAAAAGTGTTAAATCATCTCTAATAGGAGTTCCACCCGAGCGAGAAACCGAACCCGGGCAGACGGATGCTTGCGGGGAGTGGCAGCAGTTCGATACAGCACGCTTCATTGCCAACAGGCCCTCAGAGGAGCAGCGGCGTGAGAGCGCGTCAGCAAATTTAGTGAACAGTTAAACAGTGCGGTCAACAGTCGCCGCAAACAGGTTGAAAACACGCACTGTGGCATTTCCCGTGTAAGTGATGCCGCCTTGCACTCATACACATTAGAGACACAAATAGAAGTTTCTATTAGTGCGGCGTGAGTCTGGCATTTACAGAATGTCACATGAGGACCCTGAACATAACAGCACAGCCCAGGGTTTAGCTGTAATTAGAAGAACCCTTTGCACTATCCACAGTGTCCAAACATGTCAGCGGCCAGTGGCAGTGCACTGATGTGTTCTGGTTCACACACTGGAACGGGTCAAAACATTTCAAAATATGATTTGGCTCTCACCATGGTATTTTCTTTGAACTTTACTTATTTATTTGACTTTGGGAGATTATTTGTAAAGCTATCAGCACTTCAAAGTAAGGGACATGTATTCATAGCAGATTCCATCTCAAGACATGCAGATAGAAGTCAGGGTAGACATAAAAAAGTCCAAACTAGTGCTTGTAACAAAGTACTTTAAGTGCAGTTGGTTAAAAACAGAAATCATTAGTGCATTTTTTCTGCAAAGAAAGTGTGTACAACATCATTGTACCACGAGCGTGAACAGTAATATAAATAACAAGTTTATGTTTTTAAAGGGCGCATTAGCATCTGCTGTGTTCTGCGCCGTTTCTCTTCCTGAGGCCATTCAGCATTCCAAATGTTAGTTAAAAAAACATTTAATTCAAGAATTAAACAAAAAAGTCATAATAGTGCATATTCATGATTCACAATCACAGTAAATAAAAATATAAAGTACACATACTAATGATAGTTCCAGCAGCACTATGTAACAGAGGCAGGACTGGAGACATATTTTTTGCTGGAATTTTCTAGTTTTTATGCAAGTTAATTTTAGCAATTAAACATCTGAGATGCAAGATTAATATGATTAATATTATATTGTGGAACCTTCAGTTTGCTAAATGGCGACAAGTGCCGTATTATCATTTAAAACAATTCATTTAAATCTTTAGTAAAAATTACATTTTAAATCCATCCACACAAGCACGGTGGCTTGTGACCAAGAAAGTCCTGGATTCAACAACATCCTGGGTCATTGCTGGATCAGGTCTTTCTGCGTGGAGTCTGCATGTTTCTCCTGCAGTGTCACCAACTGAGTTCTTCACAAGTTACTTTTTACAAATATTTAATGAGGATTCTATTTCATCAGTTTGGATCCTATTTACCGGAAAAAGGTGCCTTGCCCTCTACAGGTGGGTGGAGAGGTCCTTCCTCAAGTGGAGGAGTTCAAGTATCGTTGGGGTCCCCCCGGACGAGCTGGAGGAAGTGTGTGTGGATAGGGAAGTCTGGGCGTCTCTGCTTAGACTGCTGCCCCCGCGACCCGGCAACGGATAAAGCGGAAGAAAATGGATGGATGGATCCTATTTGATGACTACTTGTATGTGTTCTATAAGAGGCCTACAAAGATAAATGCCCCCTTGCCTTTTAGCCCTTTTGGATAGATGTTACAGCTCTCACTCTGCCACTGATTCATCCAGTCAAACTGGAACCATAAACACATTATACCTCAAAGCTCAGAATGTGCAGGGTTCACCTGTTGTATTAAAATCCAAGCGTCTATTAAGTAAGTGATCTTTATTTATATACCGCCTTTCACAGACCAGAGTCACAAATAGGTTTACAATAGTTCTCTGCACACAGAAATGGGAGCAGGGTCGCCAGTACAGGAGGCGCATGTCAGACCTATCGTACATATTTTTAGTGGTAGGGGACACCGGAGTACCCGGAGGAAACCTACGCAGACACGGGGAGAACATGCAAACTCCACTCAGAAAGGCCCTGGTCCAACCGGGATTCGAACCCAGGACCTTCTTGCTGAGAGGCAAGAGTGCTATCCACTCAACCCAATTATTGAAGACTGATACAAATTCTGCAGCAGCCATTGAAATCTTAAACATGTCATCCATCTGAATAAATTATTTCAATTTGCTTCAGAGTTAGAAATTATTTGATTTGACCTGATGAACAAAAATAAAAAAAATGTCCATTTAATCAGCCCATCAGAATACCAATATTTATCTCCAAAAAAATGCAATCAGTTGGTCCCTGGATAATGTGAAGTTAAGAAATCCACAACAGTCTCATTTTAGAACACAGAATAGTTAGGGTCACTCTGAACGGGCAAAACCAGGCACTCTGTAATCCTTTCAGGAGAGCTGCCTCATTCTTGAAAACCTCAGGCTTTCTCTGCGAATGATGTCATTTTCAAGTTTTATTTTAAGTTCCCTGCACGGTGAGTGACTTCAACAGCCCAAATATTAATCCAATCAGTTCAGCCCCCCGCGCACAGTTTCTCTTCCCATGCCTGTAACAGATTTCATGCATTAAGCCTGTCAGCATTATGTGTGATCAGGGCTAATCCAACCATCGCGCTCCCCACCTGCTAATACGCCCGAATAGAATTATCAATGAGGGTGTTAGTGCCTGCTCTTACCTGCGGATCACTGTTTATATAAATACAAACTGTGTGTCTTATTCCCGAGAGGTTTAAATGCCAAATCTGCGAGGCGGTTGCATTTTATTATTTTTTCATTTTGTATGTGCAGAGTATTAGCGAGAGCCTGTTTACATCCACTCCGCTCATGACTTATGGATGACAGCGAGTGCGCGTCATGCTTGTTGGTAACTTTCTCTCTCTCGCCTCCCCGCGGGATGGCCTGTCCTTCACGGGAGAGAGATGCAATTGGGTCCCGCCCCCAGGACGTCAGCCAATAGGGAGCGCTGCCTCGTTTACATCCCCTCAACGCCACCTTCGTCCTCTACATACGGCAGGTAGCTCTTTCTCCTTGCCCCCATTTAGTTGCAGTTTTGGTCATGTGATAATTCTCTCCCCATCTATCAACATCTGTCTTAACCTCTACTTTTCTTATATACACAGAAAATACTTTTAAAATCTGTCCTTGGCGTTGAGACACCCAGTTCTCCCTCAGACCACTCCACAACGGCGCCAGTCCCATTATAGAGACCCCGTCTAAAAATAGCGCCTGCTGTTCCCAATGTGGAAGCCCATTCATCGCCGGTCTCAAAGGAGCTGTCACACATGTACAATGCTAGGCTGCACATTGAACCCCGGATAATTCAATGCTTATTGTCTGTATACCGAGAGTAATGAGTACTTACCCGGACTTGAGGCTGACCAAGGCGTCCACGACACCGGTCTGGTGGTACTTGACCATGTACTGGTGCATGGCCGGGTAGTTCTTGCGAATGTTCCTCTCTGTAGAACCATTTGGCACGGTTCCGAACCGGAAAGGAGGGGAATACGCATACGGGTTCTGGAACTGAGAGAGGAAAAGAAGGCTTTTACTCTGCTGTAGACATATTCATCTTTCTTGAATAAAAAAAAATAATCACATAGTAACATTGTAACAAGATTGATTTAAAAAACAGAGCTCAGATCATCTTGACAAGGAGGGAAATATGCAAACTTGACCTTTAGCAAGATATAGTCAGCAGCAAAGATTGAGACTTCCCAAGGGTCTGGTTCTACCCTTGTCTTTTCTTCCTAATCCTCCTCTCACACAGCTTGAGTTTTATTCAAGTACCCTTACTAAATCAACCCTTAAGCTTGGTGCATGTTCCACAACAAAGAGAGCAGGGCCATATAAATAAAGATGTGCAAATTATGAAGTGGCATTCCAGATCAACTCTAGTCAAGCAATCCACTGCATGGTTAGTGCTTGGATTGGAAACCGCTGGTATACCTGGCAGTATGTTGCTATAGTGCAAACTATTGTGTGGTGGTCATAGCAGCCGATGGAACTGATTGGAAGCCTTGCTTCTGTTGGTCTGCCAACAGAAGTGGTTTGAATGCAATGAAATGTAATGAATGTATGTCATTTGAATCAATTTACCTGACAATCCAACTAAGGCTTGTTCGCCTTTTTGTTTTGCTTGTCTTCATACCAAATGTCATAGCTCTCATCAGTAAATGTTAAATGCATGTAATTACATAAAGTCTCATCTATATGGTAAGTTAGCCAATTCAGTCTTTTGTTTTGACTTTATCATTTTGACTACGATGGTAAATAATATGAAAACACAGCATTTTCATATGATCTTGAATTGCATGATCATAGTTCCATCCTATTACCATACAAGATGTATTGATATCCACAAAACATTTAATTAAAGCAATTATAAAGCACATAGATAGGTGTCTTTCAATTGACATTTTCATGATGATTAAGTACAGTAGTGTCTCCACATTAATTATGCAACACCCACGTGAGCCAGAGAGTGCATGTCCAGAGTATGTGCACTATTCTAATTATATTTCTATTTAAGTAATAGTAATGATAATCAGTTTTATACATTCACTCCATACACTGTGATGGTGAACTACAACTGTAACCACAGCTGCCCTGGGACAGACTGATGGAAGCAAGGTTACTACGCCGTGCGTATAAAGTCATGTAAATTATTCTGAAGAGCCTCTGATTACCTCAACGTTGTTTTGTTAAAACAATGGAAATCATTATAATATCTGACCTAAAACTCAAGATCTAAAACATGATATTTTTCTTACACATTTTCTTTCGCATGGCGCCGTAAAGATGGCGCCGTGGCAAGAGCTCTGGTGTGTGTGGTGCACACCGGGGTAGTCTTGCACAGTTTTTCCAATGTGGTTTTACTGCAAATGGCAAATAAATTAATCTGAATCTGAATCTGAATCTTACACATAAACCTCTGTCAGGATCATTATATTTGTATCTTTGGCCACGAGCTCTATGGTTATAAACTAAAGTGAAAAGGGGGGATTACAACTGCTCAAGCCAAAAATTACACGTTTGCATATTTCTTGCTGTTTGCACATTTCCTGTCTCTTTGCAGTGACCCCATTTATACTAAATGTGATATGTCATTTCACCATTGTGAGAAAGTCTTATCTCATTTTGTTTAATCATTGCATTTCCTGTATTTAAACGGTTTGATTCTTGGATCTTTGTTGGCGAATTGACAGCTTTGTAAAGTCCTCAGAGATAACCATCCTTGTGATTTAGGGCTATACAAAAATACATGTCATTGAATTTAATTTGGAAGTTATTTCATCCATGGCTGGGACTTCCAGTGGTTTTCCTGCATTTGTTCATGTAATCACAATTTCCAGCAATCCGACAAATAATAATTTCCAAAAACACATTATGCTGGAGTGGTCAGGTGAGCGTTTTGCTGCTGGCGCCTCACAGTGAATGGGGCTCTGAAGCAGCAGCGATGCTTGTGGACTGTACTGGTGTACTGGGAGGGCGTAGATTGGAAACACGGCCTTGGTGTGCGGTGTAATTATTGGTGGAGGGCTTTGGAGTTGCGCACCAGCTGCTGTTAATGAAAGCCTGATGCAGAAATGATGAGGGCGAGTGGAGTGGAGCGCAGCAGAAGGGCCCTGGTGCGGACAGGTGAAGACAGGCACGTTCTCATGACCCGAGCGAGCTGCAGCAGAGGTTTACGTGTCGGTTCAACAATTTATTTCTAAAGTCACGTATTGTTGTTGTATATTCAGAAAAGTGGACAATTGTGACAGCTCTGAGCTAACTGCTGAGGTAATTCTATTCAAAGTTTTGTATACTAATCGCATTCACTTTAGATAATTATTTTTATTTATTTTTTTTTTCAATTATTTTTATTTATTGAAAGATCAAGGCTATGCTCACACTCAGAGAGCAGCCATCCTCCTGTGGACTCACCACTTGTAGAGGGTCAGTGAGGGGCTGGTGCTATGAGACTTGGGTGGCATCTCTGACTGCCACCCCCCTGACCCAGAAATGGATTAAAGGGTAGAAAATGGATGGATGGATTTTTATTTATGTGAAGATATGGTCAACCAATAATACTTACGTCCCAAACCAGAGACACACAGAGTTCCTTCTCCATACACACATATACATTCTCCAGCTGAATTACTACTGTAGGTGGATCAATAGGCATTCCCAGGCCAGCTGAGAGACATTGTCACTCCAGCGTGTCCTGGTCTTTCCTGAGATCTCTTCTTGGTGGGACATTCCCCGGACATGGCAGGGGTCCAGAAGGCCACCTCAAATGGCCTCCTGTGAATGACATCCTAGTGCGATCTCTAAGGAAGCGCCCAACAACCTCAGTAATTTCAGCCAGGGAGATGAAAGTATTCATGTCAAGATCTTCAGCCTCTGCTTCCAAAGTGGAGGACATGATGGGGGGATTGAGGAGGACTTCAAAGTATTCCTTTCACCGCCCAACGACAACGCTCACCACCCGTCCTCTGTAAACAGTGTTGGCCAAACTCTGCTTCCCCGTCCTGAGGCACAGTATATAGTTTGCCAGAATCTCTGAGGCCGGCTGATCGTCCTGCTCAATGGCGTCATGCCTCCCAGTCCTGAGTGTTTTCCTCTGATCATATGCTTTAGGGCTTTAGGGGGCTACAATCCATCTTGGCTCGATTGGACTCCTTCAGCCTAACATCCCATACTGCCAGAATCCACCCCTGGGTCCGGGGATTGTCGCCTCGGGGTGGAGACCAGGTTCTACTCTGAATCAATGTCCAATCTACAACTGAAACTAAATAAAAACATTCTACATTATTTTTTGGAATATCCTGCAACTTTTGCTCCTTTTTATGCAGGGCTATAACATGTATTAGTTATATGGTGATTTCAATTTATGTTCTTTTATTTTAGATAATTTAGTCTTATGACAGTCACATATTGTATTTAAAGCATCTCTATATCTATCTGGAGTGTAGCCTTAAAAAAAAAAAAAAAAAAAAAAAACAAAAAACGAAGCATGGAACTTCCTCGTGTCCCGGGCCGTGTTCTACAAGTGAGATTAGGAGACTAGCGGGCTAACTTGAGGGTGACACTTGGGCTAATCTCTTCTACAATGGATGGGAAGCTCACACAGAAGCAGGTTAAGGACAGGGCGGATGTAACAGACTTCAGCAGAATTGAGTAGAGACTGGATTCCAATGTAAAATGGCTGAAAAGAAATGGCGACTGAAATCAATTCTAAAATACCTCAATGTGTATTTTTCCAACTCGTATTCTCAGCAACAATTTAAATGCACAGGGGCCTATTTTCCTTAGATAATCGCATTCTATTTAAACCTATTCATATTCAATGGGTGGGTCATTGGCCAAACGTGTAATAGCTTCGCCTTTACTTGTAGGGTATGCTGGGTGGAGGAGTGGCTGCTGGCTCTGTGAAATCCATTGAGTAGTTGCAAGGACAGTACTGCCCAGAGAAGTAATATATACAAAAAGTCAGATGTATGTTTTTGTCCTCATAGTCTTTGTGGGCTGGTTTGGCAGATTGTATAAAAAACCAAAAATAATTATGTCCAGAAACATTCTCAAACTTGCCACAGTGTTCCTAGTGATATGGATGTGGAGCTGTTCTGGTAAAAAAAAAACATTAACACATGACTATTTCCGATTTTGGGCTGACAAACGGCTGGCTGGCATACTCCAGGCTTTGACAAAGTGTGTATCCCAAAACAGCCCCGTACCCCCTACGTACGCCGCCGCATGGCCCTGTATGGTCCAAACGACACGTGGGGTGTGTAGGGGAGAAATCGCTCAGTTTTAGAGTTTGAGTTTCTTTTGTGAGTTATTGATGACAGAACCTTCTTTAAAATTGTTTCATCAAATATATAGAGACAGATTGTATTATTGAATTTGAATTGGGAAGTATAATTTACATATTACCAGTACTTTAGAACACCTATTCAGAATACAGTTTTTGAATGTTATCAGTATTCTGTAACTGAACATACATTTTGCATTATTATCATGTTCTCTTTCTTCTCTTGTGGTTAATCAAAAACCTAATATTTTCTATAGTATTTTCAACTATATAAACTAATTTAAACATCCAATCTGTATTGCTTTGTTTGTGTGCATATGAAAACCTGGCGGGGTATGCAAGGTAAATCTGCTAGCATTACACAACTGCCACTTTTTTTCAGCAAATAAAGTATATCCCTTGGTGTAGAGGAGCGTAAAACGTGATTATGTGTGTGGGGAATAGCTCATTTGTCTCACCCCATTCCGGTGTGGAGTAATCCTGTTCTCTGCTCGTGCTCTCACCTTGTTGTCAGAGAGCCCCGTCACTTGGTCCACAAACTCCTCCTGGATCATGAAGGCAGCCAGGTTAGCAGTGTAGGAGGCCAGGAAGATGACAGCGAAGAAGGCCCACACGGACACGATGAACTTGCTGGTGGTTCCTTTGGGATTCTGGACGGGCACAGAGTTGTTGAAGACCAGGCCCCAGAGCAGCCACACGGCCTTGCCCATGGTGAAGGACGGACCATGGGGGTCTGAGGAGAAGGACACAGCAGGGTGAGGCGGGGGATGCTAAATATGCAGATGCCATTAAACGGGATGATTTTTGTATGTGCAGCAACCATACACTCTGAATAAATGTGTTTGCCTTTTTCGTATTCATCTATCGTGATTTATTATTCAATTATGGGGTGGCAGAGGTTTGGTTGAGAACAGAAACAATTTGTTGGATTTTCCATCTGTAAACATATTGCACATCCCTATGGTAGCCTGTGGGAATGATCTACACCTGAATGAGGCCGTGTGCAGATGTAGTAAAGGGTGAGCTGGGTGTTCAAAACTCAAAACGTGCATGCATGCAAAATGACTTCATTATGTTGGTGTTATGTGGACGTTAGGGATGCACCAATCCAGTTTTTTTGCAAGTCCGATACTGATCATGATACTTTGGCTTCAATATCTGACATTGACAGATATGAATAGATACCAGTGAAGGGACTGCAGATATCTTATTCTTCCCAAACATCTCAGCAAACTTGTTACAAATTGATCCAACTGTTTTAAACTAGCTGTTGATCCTGTAAAAAACAACATAAATACTGTCTGAGAAAAAAATTAAACCTAGTATATTTGACATTCTGGGCGAATATCAGCCAGGAAATCTAAATGAAGTCCTACACAAGATCTCAACTGAACCAATATTATTAACTACAAAAGTCTGAGATTTCAGAATGTGTTTTTGAGGGGAGTCCCGGCTCCAGAGAGAGGAGAGCTACTGTACACTGGTAGGGGAAACTGGATCACCTGGAGGAAACCTGCGCAAACACGTGTAGAAATTCCAAACTCTGGAATCAAACCCTGTACCTATTTACTAAGGAGCAAGAGTGCTAACTATTGGCGCTGAAATCCGATCCCAGTATTTTATCCGTGCATCCCTAGTGGACGTTTGTAATCACAATTTACAGCACAATGCCCTTGATAACAACATTACATTGGTTTGTTGGTATTAAAGTCACTGGCTGCACTATGTCCCAACAAAGTCTAGTGTGTGACTTGACTTTTTATAATGAAAATTAAAGGCATTGCTAAAGCATAACTGTGTTGTTCGATCCCCTTTTGCTGAGAGTCCCAGATTGGGTAACATCGGACCGTGGTCTTTAATTGCATTCTGTGCTTATGCCGCCTGCTCTGCTACAGTTACTTTTAAGCACCAATCACAACACTAATTAATGTGCTCAATGGGCTGATGACATTTCACAGTAGGTGGATTTTTATGTTTTTTGATGATGGTGGTAATTAAACCTATATAATTACGAACAACATAAACACAACTAAATATTCAACTCTGATGTATCACTGTGATCTTTATGCAAGTGCAGTCCAAATGTAATCTTTCACTGCAAAAAAAATGACGTAATAATTGCTTGATTGATTGTTTTTTTTTTTACTTAATTTGAGTAAATTCTGGCTGATGAGACAAAGCCATTTATTCTTAATTCAAGAACTGTTTTTCAAGAACTTTTCTCATTCCAAGGGAGACATTTCTTGTATCTGTTTAACACAAGATAACATTGCTTGTCCCATTGGCAAAGAATGTGCTCAAATTAAGATACAGACTGTACACCAAACCTGACTGTACAACAACAAAAAATAGTCTTCTGCTGCTGGACACCTGAATTTCTCCTACGGGGATCTATCTATAAGCATTTATTATCTATCTACATTTGGAAAACTTTAGCAAATAAAGTTTTTTCCATCATTTTTTAGTTCTCATTTATTTTTTTTAAACTTGTTTTTATTATAAATGGTGCAAATTACACTTCTTTACAAAACAGCAATCAGACAGAAAATATAGGTACAGGTATCGATACAATATTGTTGTTGTCTGGTCCATATTAAACTATTTACACCTACACAATAGTGATACAGCAATTATCCATTTGACAAATAAGTCTGAACTAAAGACCATTTATCTGTAAATATGTCAGTTTTCATCTGCAGTCTGGCCGTTATTTGATCCATCTGATACACGTCCCTTAACCTGCTTTTCCACTCAGTGATGGTGGGGGGCTGCGGTCTGAGCCAGGGGACTGTTATCATTTTCTTTGCTATCAGAAGCAGAATCTTCAGTAGATATAATTCACATTTTGATTTGATTTACTTTTTCAATAATCCCAATAATGCTGAGGTTGGTTCCAGTGTTCTCATTTCTACTCATGTCAACACTTCATGTATATATGGTTTAGAACACAGCTCTCTCTTACCTTTCCCTTGTGCCAGGTTCCTGTTGAAGCCAAGCGGACTTATGTACTCGAACATGAAGACAGCCATTGCAGTGACCAGTAAGAGCATCACAAACATCATGACCCACACTGATGCACTGAATGGCTCTGCAGAGGAAGAAGAAGAAGAAGAAGACAAAAAAAAACACACCAATTAATGAATATAAAACCACACAACTTTTATTTTTACTTTTCACCACCACTTCCTGTCCCCTTCCCAGTCAATGAATAAATCAATCTCGCGTTTAACTAGCTGACTCGGGCTCGCGGGTGCAGCTCCATCGCGCCCACTGCCCACTGCATATACAAATAGAGGGGACACGGCTCCGTTTGACAGCGCGAGGGGGCGGGCTCACCGGGAAGCCCTGGTGTCAGCAGTCCTGTCCTCCCCGAAGATTAAAACACAGCGCTAATGTATGGGAGACTATATGGGGAGTGCGTCAGCGTGTGTGTGTGTGTGTGTGTGTGTGTGTGTGTAGGGGATAGAAGGAAATAAGAGAGAAGGATAGGGACTCTGGAAGATGGTGAGGAGAGAGTAAGGAGTGACAAGTTTTTCCCGCTAAGCTTTACTAATTGCCACTTATTCAAACCGAAAGAGTCAACAGTGCGACAGTGTAATTGTATAACAGTGTGTATTCCAAAGTATAGGACTTTGGAAGTGGGGTTTTCCATGTCGTTGAGAAAAAAGCGCTTTGTATGTGCTGTACTCATTGGAGCCATGAATTGGTGTTTTTTTTTTTCTTTATCCAAATATAGATTTTTATTGCCTATCACGTTGTTCTCCTTTTAAAATAAAAGTGTTGCCTATCAATAAGCGTTTGTAATATCTCAGGCTATACAAACGTATGACGTCTGCGGTTGGTAATTTGGGGTGAAAAACAGTCCCTCTTTTAATTTTCATAATTGTATATATTAATATCAATTTTAGTATAGTTAAAAAAATGTATGCTGATTCATACTATACCTTACTCTATCATCTACCTCGCTACTTTCAAACGCTTTTCACAGAGAGTCAAAGCTAATTCCAATTTTTGTGACTTCCTGTTACTTACATGGCAATAAAAATGATTCTGTTTGTTTCACCATTTGATTTCTTCTAATAATTCACACACTAAAAGATACAATTAGTATGTATGGCCAAAAATAATGCATAATATTTATATCCATCCATCCATCCATTTTCTTCCCCTTAATCCATTTCTGGGTCAGGGGGGTGGCAGGCAGAGCTGCACCCAGTACACAGAGCACCAGCTCTTTGCAGACTGCTGCAAATTTAAAGTAAAAGTCAAGAAAAGCTAATGACGGTGAAGCAGGAATACAGATCATGTGCAGAGAGAAGCCCTTGATACATTTGTGAACATAACGACCTTTTTTTTACTCAACTGAAATCATGAAAAGTTATATTTCTCTGCTTTGCTCAAAGAAGTATCTCATCCGTCCCCAAAAGCTCGCATGAAGAACTACGAACACACATCCCTCTTTGTATTTTCAGCTAAAAGTTTTGATCTAAAATGTCCTTCAAGTAAAAAGCAAGGACTAACAGCACCCATGATGCTTTTCTTTCAGTTCTATTTTAGTCGCAAACTTTATAATGTGATACCTTTCACCCAGTACATGAAGTATTCTTCATTATCTTAATACTATCGCACTTTGATGCTACATGCCTATACTCAGTGGCATATGGAGCAGAGGCAATCTTGCTTTTAATGACACTCTCACATGCTTTAGATCTATAATGTATATTGCACATTCTGCTGTCTTGTGTCACACTGCACGTTTCAAAAATGAATGCACCGCCCCCACATCCATCTGCCACATGCACTAAGACTACAACCTCAGGAAGAACGTAGGTGTCCGTGCGATTGTGAGAAAATGTGGGAACAGAAATAGGTGACAGAAATTCTGAAGAGGATTGAATTCAGCCACAAATCAAATGTTGAATCCAATCCTTTGTTTTGATTTCTTGCATGATTTCCTGCATGATTTTTGGTCAGACAAAAATGCATTTTAAGTAAGTAAGTAAGTAATCTTTGTTTATATACTGCCAGAGTCACAAAGCGGTTTAAAATTGTTATTTTTTGGGCCTTTGTCTCTCACTCCACACAGAGATGGGAGCGGGGTCGCCAGTACAGGAGGCGCATGCCAGACCTATTGTACATGTTTTCAGTGATAGGGAAAACCGGAGAACCCGGAGGAAACCGGAGCAGACACAGGGAGAATATGCAAACTCCACTCAGAAAGGCCCTGTTCCGACTGGGATGCGAACCCAGAGCGTTCTTGCTGAGAAGCGAGATCCAGATCCGTGCCACCCAATTTTCATACAAGACTTTAGTCAAATGTGGCAAAAAAAAAAGAAGTGGGTCTTTTTCAGTCGTTGTCAAAGGTGCAATTCAATTTAATGTATTCTTGTATAGCCCTAAATCACAGCAGTAGTTATCTCAGAGGACTAAATGACCAACAAAGATCAGAAAATCAAACAGTTCAAACACATTACAAATATAGAACACATAGGATTTGGTCCATAGGGGGAGTTGACCAATGTCCATCAACGTTTATAAATGTCGCTAAATGTTGTAGAATGTAGAGTGTCCTGGATCATCGCAACAGTCCTTTTTGTTAGACCCACTAACAGTCTAACAGACCCTCCTGCATCGTCAAGGAAAAAATGAGAAAAAGTGAGAAACCTCGGGGAGAACCACATTGAGAGAGGGATCTGCTCCACACGGACGGACAGACTATAGATCCAGGACCTAAGCTACATAACAGACAAGGCCACATTTTCATGTTTGATTTTCTGATGAATATGACATTTAAAATGTAGGGAAAGAATTAACTCCAGTGGTTGTCATAGCTACAAGGCACAACAAGTATTTTTTCACTTGGTATTGAAGAACTAAGATGATGCAAAAACAACTTTGTGGATCTTTTTAACAATCTTACAACATTGTTCCTCATCAAAAACCTGAAGTTGTTTTTGATCCATCTGCACTAATATCAAGAACTTCTGGGACATACCTGTAACTCCGCCCCTTCTGTCTAAAGCTCCTGTCTCAGTCATTGTGCCACTATGACATAATGTTTTTTTTTTTATACTGTGTTTGCAGTCATTAATTTTGGAATTTGTAAAAACACATATTCATTACGTCTCTCAGGTGGTAGCATATACGGATAGGGCAGGCCGATAGCATTATCATTTTTTTGCATATAAACACTGATGTAAAACTGTGACTGAGGCTAGAAAACACATCGAACCAAACAAACTTTAGATAATGGGAGATAGTTTGATCTTAAAGTAACTGGAAAGGCCAGCGAAGAGATTTGGTTACTATGGGCCTGACTTCTCGCTGTAAACTGAGATTATTTGCCAGCGCGATGAAAAAGTAAGTATTGACAGCTGTGTAAGTGAGCTGCGATAGATCTTCCAAACACACAGCAAACAAATACAAGACGCTGGCAAAACAAAGACACAAGCTCTGCTGTTCTCAAGAGCCTCTCACTAAACACAGGGGCCAAACGCAGAATCCATATCTGAAATCACAGCTTTCACAATAACTTTTGTTAAATTTCAAACTATAATTAGAGACGTGAAAGGAGGGCGATCGTTCAAACCGTCAGTAAGTACAGCCTGGATCCACTGATGTTTTATTATCGCCAAAAAGAGTACACTAAAAGGTTTTACTGCGAGTAGGACCACTTTCATCAAAGAAGTTGTGTTCAGTGAACCTTTGTTGGCATAGATGGAATAAAAAATAAAGAGGTGGAAACAAAAACAGAATATCCTCTAAGTGGTTTTTGGAGTGAAAAAGTCAGTAAATAAGATTTCAGATTATATGTGTTTAAAGTCAAGTATAAGGGAAGAGACAATTAAATTACTGACATTTTGATGTCATATTATTTAGATGTGTTCTACCAAATGCAATTGAAGTAATTTAGCAAGAAGTGCCTGAAAAGTGCTCAAACAGAGAGGAAAGCCTTGCGATAGTTGTATGTCGTTGAAATAAAGTTAGTGATTGTTACCCTTTTTTGTTTTTTTTGTTTGTTTTGGAGCCCTGAAACTCCAGAAGAAATAGGATCTAATAAAAACAATAGCATGACATACTTTCAAATAATAAAATTGCCATGCCTTGCCTACTTTGGCGCCTAAAGGTTTGATCCCTGTCGCCAGATGTTCCCAGTGTTGAGAAGCAGAATTCGCCAAGCGTTGGATTGTTCATTGCCTGGCTCTGCCAGACCCTTGTAGTTCCGCCATGCTCCACCAGAGGCGTTTGGCTGAACCACATGGGTCTGGTATAGACGCCATAGCGAACGCCTTCCCCAGATTATTTTTTAATCGACCAATCAGGATTGCCGGTGTTACGTGGGGTTTGCACTCCCTTCTCAAGCTTCTCTCATGCAGCAGCGAGAGGAATCCAAGATAGCGGACGTAAAGTCCACGAATCTTTTTAAAAGAGTAAATACGATCGAATTAAGACACGGATGTCACTTTTAATGCAATTTGAGGCGAGATGTAGATGGTTCTATGTTGATATATGTGTGTTTTAAGAGTCAAATGTTCCTGTAAAGTTTGGTTGAAGCACTGGTTCAGTGTTCCTGTTTACACACTATGCAGCAGGGTTGCCAGGTTTGGTGGTTCCCGCATATTTTTTTCCAAGAGACTTGTAGGTATTAAATAAACAGAAAGACAATAAACAGAATCATGATAAGTTGATTACATTAAGTTTTTAGCCAAAAAATCATTTTTTTGAGTGTTTTTTTTTTTGGGGGTATTCTTGCGGATTTTGGGTTGGAAAATCTTGCTGGGATTTGGCAACCTATGGGAGCCGTGTGCTTCGATGTGAGTGGTTGAAAACAGACTTCATTCAAGATAACGGACAAGTGGTCTATCCAATCACATACAAGGATTTTTTTTACAAGGCCCTGCCTTCTGAAATCCAACCACTATGGCTCAGTACCAGACTCATGTGTGAAGTGCAGCGAACTACATCGATCTGGCCAGAGTCAGGCTAGATTGTTCAGCCTCTAATAGAAAACGTGATCTGGGGCGACAGTGGCTCAGTTGGTAGAGCATTGGCCTTTTTGCCTGAAGGTTGTGGGTTTGAGCCCACCTCAAGACCTACTTCACGACTCCTACTGACGACTGCTGTCGTTGTGTCTTTGGGTAAGACACCCCCAATTTGCCTGAAGCCCCAGCTAGAAGATCTCAGCTCCTGTGGACTCACCACCTGCAGGAGGATCAGTGAGGGGCTGGTGCTCTGTGAACTCGGAGCAGCTCTGACTGCCACCCCCCCCGACCCAGAAAAGGATTAAGGGGAAGAAAATGGATGGATGGATGGATCTGGGTTTAGTTCGTTGTGAGACAGGTCAATTTTGCCCTACGTATGATGTGTTGTTGCAATAGTATTGCTCACCAACTAAAATATGAAAGTTTTTGCGACAAATAAATGTCTGCAGATTTTCCGCAAAGAGTATGAACTTAATGGAATAGTCTTGAAATCATTGTATTAAGTTGAAGAGGGGTAACATTTCTTCCAGCGCAAGCACCTGTGACAAGGAACAAATTATTTCCCAGAGTCAGAATAGTAAGTAAGTAAGTAAGCAATCTTTATTCATATAACGGCTTTCACAGACCAGAGTCACGAAGCCCTTTAAAATTGTGGGCATTTGTCTCTCACTCCACACAGAGAGCGAGGTTGCCAGTAAAGGAGGCGCATACGAGACCTATTTTACATGTTTTTAGTGGTATGGGAAACAGGAGCACCCGGAAGAAACCTATGCAGACACGGGGAGAACGTACACACTCCACTAAGAAAGACCCTGTTCCAACCGGGATTCAAATGCAGGACCTTCTTGCTGAGAAGCGAAAGTGCTTACCCCTCAGCCACCGTGAATACAAATGCAAAAAATATGTTTTTCGTCCCATTGGCAAATCTTGTTTTAAGGCAGTCAAAATGTGCTCAAAATAACATTTGTTTGAATTTGAGCATTTCTTTTTTGACTTTTTCATCCCTTTTTGCAGCGTAGAGCAGTTACCCAGTTGGTCCACAACATTAGTATCATTGGGTGTTAGCATGGCGACCAAGAATGCGCCTGACCAAACTCTACATACAAACAAAATGCACAGGTGAGTGGCATTTACCAAGAAAAGCTGATGGAGACACTGTTCCGTTGCTACGAGAGACCATGACACTGATCCCGGTTTCCACGAACGGGACGGAGAAATCGATGACCTCAGAACGCTCCTCATTGATCGTCAGAGATCCGACGGCCATGACGGCTTTCTTATAGACCACCTGCAGAAAGGAGCACAGGGTCAAAACGTCCACCATCAACAATGAACACTACAGACGCTTTCTGTCCGGAACAATTGACATGCATTCATACGCCATTTTGTTTGAATACTAGAGGATCAGGTGAAGTACTGCAAAACACTTTTCCTGCTATGTTGCATAAAAGGCAATTGTTTATAATAACATGATGATGATCAAATTGCAGAAAAGCAGGTGGCATAGGGTTAGGCATAGGAGCAAAAAAGAAATAGATAACTTTGACAAAACTATTTACAGACATTAGTACGATACAGCATGCCTCTGCCAGCTTTATCGCAATAATCTATGACATGCGTTTAGTGCATTTAAAATTTGAAGTTCTGTTGTAATAATAGTAATACCATACTTAAACAGTGCTTACTGTGCACCTAAAAACTCCTTACAGTGGGAAAATACAAGAAACAAAAATAAATAAATAAAAAAAGCTTAAAAAAAATAGCTAAATATAGGCAGTTTTGAACAAATGGGTTTTAAACAGTGATTTGAAGTCCCTCTAGTTCCTTATGTAATCTCATTGTTAATGTATTTATTTGTTGATTTATTTATACATAATCAACATGTAAAACACCACAACATCTATAGCCAAGGCACATTTGCAATGTCCGACCCTAGAATCCATCATATAGTTTATCAATAATGATTCACGTCTATTCGTATCAAATGAGTAGTAGTAGTAAGTAATCTTTATTTATATACCGCCTTTTCACTGCACATCGGAGTCTCAAAGCGGTTTACAATTGTGATTTTTGGGAGGCACATGCCAGACCTACTGTACATATTTTTAGTGGTAGGGGAAACCGGAGCACCCGGAGGAAACCTACGCAGACACGGGGAGAACATGCAAACTCCACTCAGAAAGGCCCTGGTCCAACCGGGATTCGAACCCAGGGACCTTCTTGCTGAGAGGCGAGAGTGCTATCCACTCAGCCACCGTGCCAAATCTGGTGTTATTATGAATCATAGCAATCATGTAAGATGTAATTGCTTTAAAATATTCGCAAAAAAGGACACTCTGGTGCCACATTAATTTGGTATTAGAATGTTACAAACATTACTCTACATATTTGTCACTGTCTGTTATTCATGTATCATTACATGAATAATAAGACAGTGACAAATAAAGTACCATGAATAATAAAGATAATTAAATACATTTGCAGTTTGGGTTAAGGTAGTAATTTGGAAGTTATCCTCTGTGAGATAAATAAAGCAATCTTATCTTATCTTATCTTATAAAGCCTAGATAAAAGACTTCACTTCATTATGTTTGAAAGTTGCCAGTTAAATAGTTTAAAGCAGGCCCTATGAAGCGTTTATGAAGGTTAAGAGTCGAGATATTTATTCTGTTGTGTTATGAAGCACTGCATAAATTAAATTATACACGCATTCACATTTACCAGAACATGTCGCTAATGCTTGAATAATACCCACACAAGGCTGGATATTGTGCTCATCAAACTTATTTCATCGCCAATAATTGAACTCAGTGGTGCTTCATCAGAACTTCATCAGAGCCAAAATGCACCAGTGACAGTTATTACAAAAACAATACCTCGTTTTGTGGTCATAAAACCTCAGACAGCCATAAAGTTTGCTGGCAGAGTTTAGCTGTGAGCGGAGTCTGTGAATTAAAGATATGCAGAAGAAGAGCTAAGATGTGTTTACTTTGGGAGCGTTCGGAGACGATGCCAGCGCCACATGGCTGAACGCATTTATCCACACTCAGCGAAACTAAACACATATATGAGCAAAACTCCAATGTGTGTGTTTTAAACTGACGCAACGAGAGGAAATCGATTTACTTTCAATGTGAGTCCTATTTAACACTTGGACTCCCAGAATTTTGAAACTACTGGATCTCCCAAACCTTTACTGACTTTTCATGAGTGCTAAAACTGATTATAACTAAAATATAGCAAAAAGGCTAATGCCAACTGCTGACAGTAAACAGTGTGTTGCTATGGTAACTCGGACTTGATATTCACTTGTGTAAAATTGGTTAAAGATGCAGTCAATGATTTTTTTCCAGATGCATTTTTTTTTTATATTGTGGGAAAACGTCCCTGAACCCTAAAAGTAATCAAGTAATCGTGTGTTTTCAAATAGTATTGGAATTGACTAGATGCCTATCGTTTCGTTCATCCCCAGTAAACCAATAGTAAGTAAGTAAGTAAGCTTTATTTATATACCGCCTTTCACAGACCAGAGTCACAAAGCGGTTTACAATTGTTATTTTTTTTTTGGGCACTTGTCCTCTCACTCCACACAGAGATGGGAGCGGGGTCGCCGAACAGGAGGCGCATGCCAGACCTATTGTACATATTTTTAGTATGGGATGCGTTTACCCCCCTTCACCCTCTCCCTTTTTCTTGTGAGTGTGCGCACCTGAGTTATTGGATTATTTTCTAAAACCTAAAATGGCTGAACAGAAAAGGCCAATTGGTTTGGTGGAGAGGCGAGGGGAGGGGGGAGTGGTTTCGAGTTGGTGCTACGGCTACGCTAACAAAATTGCTAACTGCATCTTTAAAAGAAGAACTCCTCATATTTAAAAGTAAAAGATGAACAAAATCATGAAATAGAAATAAACTCTGTAAAGATACATGAGATGCAAAATAAAAGTAAGTAACTAATCTTTATCTATAAAGCGATTTTCACAGACCAGAGTCACAAAGCGCTTCTTAATCTGTTCAGCCCTTTGAGTTGCCTCGTGTATGAATTGTGCTATACAAAAAAACTTGCCTTGCCTTTACAAAAGTCATAAAATGGACTATTCTGGGTGTTGTAATGCAAAGAGGACTAAATGCAAAATCCTGAAAAGTATTGTATTATTATATGGAAGAATACATTTTGTAGGATCTTTGTGAAGAAAAAGAAAAAGTAATTGTCCTGAATATCAAAACCAGAAATAATAATTTGCATTTAAATACAAAAAAAAATCTAAATGTACACCCGATAATGACCATTATCTGGCACTTGTAATGCAATGTTGGAAATAATGATTAAAGCTGGGGTTACTTTTTGTCAAGAATAATGCATTTTGTGAACATTAAAACAAGCCATCTTCATCTTATTAGATAACATGTTATTTGTTGCATATTTGTCAGAAAAAGCCCAGTGCCTCACTATTTGACATTTTGGGCTAAGAGCTGATTGGCCGATTGAGCTCTCTTTTATCACTTTTGTCTTAAAAATCTGATCTGAAGTAATGAGGCCAAAAGTACAAGCTATTGATGAGAATGAGGGACAAGCTGGATGGACTGTATATTCCATAGTTTCATGTTTTGTGACTGGAAAATTAGGTAACCCAGCTTTAATGCCATGTCAAAGCAAAGTGGTATTTTCTTACGCCTTTTGCTTTACATACAACTTACATAAAGTTTACATTTTGGGTCCAAACACTCACCTCTCCCACCATCCCATTCCAGACATTGTTGATTTTTTTTCCATGTTTGCCATTGGTTACCAGGTACAGGTCATAGGTGAATTTCACGTATTTAGCAATTTTCTTCAAAATGTCGATGCAGAATCCTTTACAGCACTTTTTGATATATGTTCCACCAGCTTCAGTCGAGTTGCTGTGAAAACAAAAAAATAGAAAGAAGTCAATATCTGTCTATATTTGGGTTCTTAAAGTCTTCTGTACAAATCCTGAGCTCTTGGAATCCAGGGAAAATCTCACTTCATCAAAAACCTAAATTAAATTATTTACAGTCTGACTTAAAATATACACGTACAGCTTTAAAACATGGTTAAAGGTGATATAATACAAGCAATATGAGAAAGAAACTATAAAATAAACATCAATAAAACAAAAATCCTCCAGCTGAAACTACCTGCGTATACTCTCATGGATGAATGATGGAACGTGATAAAAGCTTTACCCGACGTTGAAAATATTGAAATAAACAAGGATTTCAGAACTGGCAAAAAGGAAGGAGAGTCATTGCCAGATTTGAGTCGTGCTTGTCAATTAAAAAAGTGTGTTAAACTTTTTTCTAAATTCCCTACGGTTCTCTGTCGGTTTGTTGGTAAAACATTTGGCTCGTCTAATGTCAAATATTAAAAAGTAGAGGCAAAAAAAACGATCATTTCCAGGTTGTTAAAACGATTATTTGGTCGAAGGTCGTCCACGTGAAAGTTTATTAGGTCTTAAATAGGTGAACTGGTAACTGTTTTTCACTTTATCCATGATTTATATTGGGAAGGACGAGTGGAGCCAAGTATTTCGGCATTTACCTTGACATTTAAGCCAGGTCAAACTCTCAATAAAATTTTTGCGTGAATATTTAAGTCTTGCTGCGTCCACGTTTTTGTCGACTAATACTGAAGTCCCCCAAGATAGCATGTAGATACAGCTTAGCATGTGTTGTGACAGAAAGTGAACAAATGAGCACAGGGACTGAGCACAGGGACTGAGTACAGGGACTGGCCTCCTGCTGGTGCCCTGAATCAGGACTGAACATAGGGAGGCAGAGATTCAGATGTATGCAGGTGGAACAGTCTTCTGGAAAATTTGAGACTTGTCTTTTCTGACAATGTTCAAATCCAGGTTTAAAAACAGTTCATTCTAGCAGTGTACAGTATACAACTGAAGGACTGTATCTTTACTCTTTTTTTAATATACTGTGATTATTTATGATTTTGTTAAGCGCTGTGAGTTGCATTGTATATGAACTGTGCAATACAAATAAACTTGCCTTGCCTGGCTCGCCAAATATGGTCAAATGTTTTAAGAACTTAGCAAATCCCATTCAGGCAAACTTCTGCTTCCTAACTTCTGTGCCCTTTGTTGGGAAACAGCATCTGTCGTACACAACAGCTCTTTGGTCTAATCCTCTCCTCATTTCCATGCTCTCCACAAGCACCTGGGACTTCTTCACCTTTAAGATGGGGTCGGTTACTCTCCCGTGACAGGGGGGAACTTGAAACCCACCTCCACTCTGCTTTCGGAGGAGTTCTTTTGACGCGCTTACATCTACACGTCTCGGACCATCTGCGGGACTACGTGGAAGGAGCAGAGGGTTCAGACAGACAGCGACTTTGAGCCACCCGCGACTCTCATTTCAATTTCAGATGTGTGCTAATGAGACAACATAACCTCACGCTTCAGTTTAACAACAGGGCGGACACAAAGTGGATGGAAAGTGAAAGGGGTCGAAGAAAATGCTGCTAGCTTTCTAATGTGCTTACAGGTGCATCCAACGGGATTTTGTACAATTTTTCAAGTGAATTAATGGTAAACTATTAGAAGTGGTAAACCACACAACAGCAATGGGCCTAATTGTGTGCTAGACAAAATAATAATTTTAGATAAATATTGATAGATTTAAATACAATATTGGTTTTTCAATTTTTTCCAATAATTTTTCCAATAAGAAACAATATTTTGTTTCTACAATTACATAAGTATACATTTCAAATGCAAAAATATATTTTTGTTTTTATATATTATATTATATATAATATATTATATTTGACTTATATGACATTTCCATATAAGTTTACTAGTTTACTACCTCACCACAACTACAGATTTAATAGCGTCTTTGTGTTAGCAAAACAGAGGGCCACAAAGCATGGCATAGAGGGCCGCGTTTGGTCTGAAAACGTAAATGCATTTACATATTTCAAAGTAGAACATTATGTTTTGCCACTACTGTATCTGTACTTTTGCACACTGTACAACAACATTGAGTACCACATCCCTTATCAGTGTAGAATATAACCCGCAGATTTTTGAAGCTCTGTACTATCTAAAGAACTGAACGTATTGGTTCTGACCCACATTGTTAGTGGTCGTGCGTCATCTCAAGTGATGACGTCCCAGATAGGAATCATAAAAAAAGCTCTGTCTCCTTTTGTTGGATCTGGAGGGACTCCGGGTTACAGGTGCGATCGCTGCTGCTGCCTGTCTTCATTTCTGAACATTACATTCTCACCGTCCCCTGCGTTACCCCAGAGATAATAACCATTTGGTATTCAACTCCTATTGTATCCAGCTCCTGTGGGCCCCTGTTAGAGTGACTGACTACAGGCCACCGCTGCAATAACCACGTTCACAAACTCGCTGTGCCCATTCCGCCGGCCCATAACACAAGCCCAGCGCGTGTGATGTTTGTGGATTGGCCCGACCAACTATAGGCGCAGAAGCAGAGCCGGAGGGTATCCAAAGGAGTTCAGTAGATGTGTGAGAAGTTGTTCTTAGAGCTAGAGCCCGGATGACTGAACCTCCAACCCCCACAGAGGGACACTGCGGTATAGGGGGGGGGGGGGGGGTTGTAAATGAAAGAAGCCCAACCGCTACTTTAACCAGGAAGAGTACAATCTCATTCCTGGTCACATGTCTATTAATCCCTCAGACACTTCAATTTCAAATACATTCACACACGGCAAAGAGTGATTCAAAATAAGTAAAACATTTCTCAAGTTAGGCAAAATGTATCTTAATTTGCCTGGCTTAAAACAAGATTAAACAAGACAAGCAGACTTATCTCATTTTAAAAAATATAAAAGAAATGTCTCTCTTGGAATGAGAAAATTAAGCAACAGCTCTTGAATTAAGATATTGTCCCATCGGCAAATCTTGTTTTAAAACAGTCAGAATGTACTCAAATTAAGATTTAAAAAAAACTTGATTAAAGCAATTATTACCTCATATATTTTCATTTTTTGTAGTGCATCCTTCTCTTCCTGTCTGTTCAGTGGAAAACACAAACTTCAAATAGTGGTTCTATACGAGGTCATGTTCACATCTGAATTAAATGTATTAAATTGAACGGTATTTTTCCATATGTGAAAGCTAAAGCTTTTTAAAGTGTGATTTAAATTAATATAATTTAATTGAGTGGACAAAAAAAACTGAATCATAGCTATGAGTCAGGGGAAAGCCGCGGTCGTCCTCTGAACTCTTCACGACGGCGCACAGAAGCCACTAAAGTGTTTGCTGACTTTAAATGTTATGCTATATGTGCACTGTATTGATCCCCATATAACTTTGTCTTCTGCATTTGACCCATCCTGGAATGCCACTTGGGCCTCTTTCAGGAGCAGTGGTTGCCATGGTAAAACACTTGGGAATCCATCTCCAGGCGGTAATATTCGCATGGTTAGCAGTGTTGGGCACGTTACTTTGAAAAAGTAATTAGTTATAGTTACTAGTTACTTCTCCCAAAAAGTAACTGAGTTACTAACGGAGTTACTCCACTATAAAAGTAACTAGTTACCAGTAAAAGTAACTATTGCGTTACTTTTTCGTTTTGTTCTGGAACATAATGTGCACCCGACGTGCGCATTTTTACCTTTAACAGTGCCAATATTTCCATCTAGAAAAGTCTGTTTTGCTGCTGAAGTCCTGTTCACTCTTCATCTCTGTTGTGCTGTAAAGCCCGCCACTGTGAATGTGGAAACACCGGTGACGAGCGGTGAGGCTGGTGAAGCACTGACTTCAGTCCAATCAGATGAACATATACATCATATAAATCAAGTGGACAATTTGTTTGGCTACAGCAAAATATGTTTTATGCCCGCATTGTTTGTTCATACAAAACGCAAAACTATGAGTTATGAGTCTTACCTTATAGCTATACCTTATAAATGACCTGCACAGTCCACTTCGGTTCAGACCAGTTCCTTGTTTAAATCCAGTGAATGGTTTGAGCGTAGATATGTAATCCTCCATTTGGAAATGAGTCCAATGAGTTTTAAAAAGTAAAACAAAACGCGTGTGTCCTCCGTAAACTCCTCTGTTTTGCTGCAGCCGGCTGCATCCAATTTCTAAAATCAACCGTCTTACACTTCACCTCTCTTTCTTATCATTCCTATAGTAATTGAAAAATTACCCTATGTGCATTTTAGATTATGTAAAAATGTGTTATATGTATGTTAGCCAAACCTGTTGCTGTCCTTAGCAGATAAACCAGGAAGAGCAAGGAGCTTATCGATGGAATTGTATGCAGCCGACTTCTGCGCTCACATGCGCTCCTCTGTGGCTGACCTCACGGTGATACAAGCCGTGGTTGAGCGCGATTAAGACCCATATTTGTTTCAAAAACACAATTTATGAGCCATCCTCTCAACTGTAGACATGTAGATTGTAAAGGAAATATGATTTACATCAGCCAATAATTGCTGAGAGGTTTTCTCATCCTCCCTTCTCTCATGACAACACGTTCATTGTGCGTCTTGAGTAACGCGCAGTAACAGGATGTCGGAAATGATAACGGCGTTATAGTTACTGTCAAAGTAATTAGTTAGATTACTCGTTACTGAAAAAAGTAACGGCGTTAGTAACGCCGTTACTAGTAACGCCGTTATTCCCATCACTGATGGTTAGGAATACCGCAGCTGGAGGATTTTACCTATTGTGCATGTTTTTAGTGGTAGGGGAAATCAGACATGCAAACTCCACAAAGGCCTCGTTCCGACTGGGATTCAAACCCAGGACCTTCTTGCTGAGAAGTCGGAGTGCTATCTACTCAACCTATACCAGCAATATGATGTTGTATATGATGTTGTTGGAGTATACACACAGCGTAAAAATAAGAACATGGTGCGAGTCCACAAAAAGTGAGCCGTGCAATAATCATGGACCTCTGTAAAGACTTATTGTACCATGTGTAGGTCTAAAATGACTGCACTCACTCCTTGATGTGCTTTCTGCAGGGCACAGAGTTCCTCATGCAGGTCCCCGTGAGCCTCTCCACGTCCTCCACGATCACAAAGGGCTTCTCCTCCAGAGTCACGATGGACAGGTGATTGTCGTCCAGCTCCGCGTCTCCGAAAGAGTTAAAGCGAGGCCACACAGGGTACTTGAGGGTCAGGCTGCGGTTGTCCAGTTTACCCATCTGCAAACAAAACAGCAAGAACGTTAAAGACTGAGAGATCCTTTGTGTTGCATCACCAGTAAGAAGATAAGTGAACAATAACTATACTAAAATAAACAAAAATCTCCATCTTTAGCATAATAATAATAATAACAATAATAATAATAATGAAAATCGTAAAAAAAAAAAAATCCTTTTATGGCAAAACGTTTTTTTAGTGTAGTTTTTTATTTTTTTTATTTTTTTTTAGTAATATTATTTTATTTTAAAATGTGTATGATTTTACGTTTTGTGTAAAGCACTTGGGGTTGTACTGCATAAATTGTGCTTTTGAAATAAACTGGATTGATTGATTAAAAGCAAGTAAATGGACAGTGGACTTGGGATTCTGATTTCCACATTCTGACATTATTCAAAAGACAAGAAATGCACAAGAAACCGGTGATAACGCTTTTGAGATTTTAAAACTGTTCAAGGTTACATACATTGTGTTTTGTGTTGCTATCTGTATTACATATGTTTTTATATGATCTGAAATTCAATATATAAATATGTTTGGCATATGGCTTTTTTAATATTCAGATTTTAATGTAAGAAATGTCAATGGCTAACCTTGGCTAACCTTAAAGCTGGGGTACCAACATTCAAACCACAGACAAATTAAACTATGTAATATAATCCATTTAATGAGTTTCCCGCCCTTTAAGTTTGATCCCGTTACAAGCTTTCATGTGCGTGTATTTTTTCATCACTGTCACATCTTTAGATTCGCTTTTTTGGACAGAAAAGTGAAAAAGAGAGGACATTAGCCCTCTCAGCTCTTAGTCCATAGTTTCAATTTGTTCACAACATGTTACTTTTAACAAAACTTCCTGTTTGGACTTGGAAAAAAGTAAGGTAGCCGAGCTTTAACTGAAGATGAGAGTTTTGTATTCTTCAACTAATCCTATTAAAGGTGACAACTTGTTTATATCCTAGCTTACATTTACACTGTTTTAGTGCTTTATGTTTTACACCAAATGAGAATGAATGACTCAGTAAAGTTCAAAGAAAGAAATGGGAGAAAATGGCTCAGATATTCCCAAAGCAAAGAGAACAAGGCTATTTTCGAGCACATCCAATCTGGTGTTTCAGCTAAATATGAAGACGTAGAAAACTCAACTGAACTGAACTGAAAAGGGACAGACAGAGATGAAGCAAAACCCGCTGCACTTGCCCACAAAAAGTAAATGATAACACATGAGTCAAATAATGTATTGCGACAAAGGTCATTTGTAAATTCCGATCTTCGTTGAATCTGTCTATTCCAGACCCTGAACCGGCCCACAGGAGAGACCCCAGGAGAAGCGGCGTCTTTTGACTCAGACTTTGGAATTTTGTGCAGATGTCGTGTGACGTACAAAGACATGATTGACAACTATAATGAAGAGGCGCTGTCAGGAATCGGGAGGAGGCAAATCTGGAGAGCAATGGGGCATCCTCCGTCATCTGCACCACGACACACACCAGCTGTCTCAATGGGGAATTTTGGACCGTTGCACCCAAACAAAATGCTATGGATAACATCATATAAAACGAGTCAACTGTTATTTCGTAAAAGATTATATGGTTACGAGAAATAAAGAAATTGATTGGTAAACCAGTTTCATAGTCAAAGAGTCGATCTCGATTCCGAACAAAATATTCACTGTAAAAACAAGGCAAGGCAAGTGTATTTGTATAGCACAATTCATACACAAGGCAACTCAAAGTGCTGAACAAAACAAGAAAGCATTAAAATAATAAATAATCACAGAACATTAAAAAGAAAGATACAAATATAAAATCCCTCAGTTGTATGCACAGCTAAACAGAACCGTCTTTAACCTGGTTTTAAACATTGTCAGAGAGGAGGCCTGTCTCACATCTTCAGGAATCCAGATTTTAGCAGCATGAATCTGAAAAGCAGCCTCCCCATGTTTAGTTCTGACTCTGGGCACTAACAGGAGTCCAGTCCCTGTGCTCCTCAGAGTCCGGGCTGGTTCATATGGGACTAACATGTCACTAATATATTTTGGTGCGAGGCCATGGAGAGACTTGTACACAAGTAAAGCTGTTTTAAAGTCTATTCTCTGAGCCACAGGAAGCCAGTGCAGGGACCTGAGAACTGGACTAATGTGGTCGTACTTCCTGGTTCTAGTCAGGACTCGGAAATAAGATAAAAATGGATTTAAAACATGAACTATCCCGGCATGACATACAAACATTCATCTGTAAACTTGTTACATTCATCTGTAACAAGTTTACAAATTATTAGCAACTAAAATATTATTGAAACACCATGATTATCCGACTATAAGCCACAACAACTTTTTACATTGTTTTTTACCTGATAGCCTATATAGTGATATGTTCTGGATCTGGACCTCGAGTTTAAGTTATCTATCTATCTATCTATAGTGATGGGGCCAATGTTTCCTTTTTTATTGTGGTGGAGTTGAGCTGTTGTCATGCGCGTATTTGGTAAAAATCATCCAGGGAACCAAGTCCACTGCGCAGAACCAGGAGAGACAATGCTCAGATATGTGTGAGTTCCTCTAACTTTTCGGTGCCCTCGAAGGTCCCATGCGCAACTGAGCACAAGCCATTAATTTACTGTACATAAGGCGCCATCTTGGATCGCCGGGGCTTGGTTAAAACACCCCTTCCAGAAACATTTGGCTTTATAGTCCAGAAAGTTCTGTAGTCGTCGACTTTAGTATCAAATTAATAGTCTGTTGAACCTTTCATAGGCTTAAACATGCTGAAAAGGGTTTTTAATACATGTGCAATGACGACAGGATTAAATTAAAATGTTTCAGTTTTCTAATCAAACAACCAAATGTGCAACAAGCCACCTCTCTAAACCAGTAATCTAGGGGCATGTATGAAAAAAACCGCATATTTACTGAGCTTTTTGGGGTCTAGAAAACTAAATGATGAATACAAAGAATAATCGACCAACAATTATCAAATATCAAAATTGCACATTATCACAGCCCTAGATGGCAATATGAGGAAAACATATGCTTTTTTTTTTTTCTCTAGAACAGGTCGCTCCATCTCATAAAAAATGCAAGTGCCGTCGCGGTGCGCTCAATGACCGCAGATTAAAACCATGCAGATTGACGCATACCAACAGGCTCACATAAGAATATATATATATATATATACAGTATGTGTCCAGAATAGCAACACTTTTAGAGGTACAGCTGGATCGCAGTGCCACATATGAATAATTCAGAGGGTTTGAAGCCTGGTGCCTATAGACCTCTGCTACCTACTTACTAGCTACACCTGTCCATACTATACGCACCGATTCCTCTGGCATTAATACATTCTTGAATGGGACACAGAAAGGCTTTGCTGTGCATTCAATATTTAATGTTACAGAAGCCCGAAAAAGGCAAAACAGCGCCCGCTCTCTTCGCTTCATCCATTCCAGCCGCCTCTTTCTGTCCTTGCTTAACATTCAAATACACTGGGAAACGTGAAAGCTTTTAGTGACAGGTTTTAAGTATAGGTGCAATCGCTATGTGTCTTGGGTTGAAACAAATTGGAACAGGTAAGGCTTGTTTTTCTTGCTGAGTGCAGAAGAAAAGGGGGAATAAATTGAAAAAATGTACATGTCACTCCTTGACCTTGCGCCTTTATAGCAGAATAGAAATGTAATGTCCCCATATCTGCAAACATAGCGGACGGACGGTGAGAATGTGGGATGTACACTGTAAAAAGGGAGGAAAAACAAGGAAAAAACTGCTAAATGTATCTTTTTTGGAGGACATTTTGACTTTAAAAGGATTTGCCGATAGAACAAGCAATATTATTATTAAGCAAGATTAGATATGTCTCACTTGGAGAAAATAAATCAACAGTTCTTGAAATAAAAGTAAATGTCTGGTCCCATTGGCAAATTTTGTTTTATGGCAGTCGGAATGTACTCAATTTAATGAAAAAAAAAAACTTAATTCAAGCAATTAATACCTCATATTTGATCATGTTTTTCAGAGTAGTTATGCTGAGCTCTGTGACGTCAAGTAAATCATTAAAACACGAAAGATGCCAAAAGTTTGAGACAGTTTTAAGCACAAATGATGAAGATTGAACTCCCTCATTCCCATTTACATTTAAGCAAGTGATGTCAAGGGAGCAAGTTATGGAGGCGACCGCGCTTATGACAACAATGTTTACTTTACCGCTATATTGTAGAACACTCTTGGCAGAAGAAATGGCTCCTGAGAGAACGAGCAGGTGGTGGATTTCGACCTGGATGAATGTTATTTTATCATTAAACTATGGCTTCTATGCAGTCCATTTTTCAGCCCCGAGGAGAGCAAATTCACATTACTTTTGTTTTAATTGGCAATTAGAATAGACGATTATTCTTACAACAATTTTGTATTTAAATTGAGGTCAGACAGTGTAAAATTCTTGATCGTTTTTGACAGAGTACCTTGTCTCTATGGGGGAGAAATGGGAATGCGGGGTACATAAGTCGAACGCTAATTTGTACGCAGGGAATCTTAACCAGTTCGTCACAAGGTTACACAGGTCTATGAGGCCAAATCCATGTAATCAGGCAAGCTTTTTACCGAGGTGCTGGCAGAAAGAAATGGTTGAATCCGTACCCGACGAACCCAGCAGAAAGCAGCCAGAATTAGCATTTTAATTGTTTAGCTTTGAGTACTCTGCTCTCCGACGACCGGGATTAGGCACTTTTCGGGCTTCTTTGTACTTTGCGCTACAGTCAATATCTCTCCTATACAGTACTTTCTCTGTCTGTCTCTATATCTGTCTCTCTGTCTTTCTGTGTGTCTCTCTCTCACAGTTTATCTGTGTATCTGTCGGTTTCTAATTCTCTGTGTCTCTCTCTCGCAGTCTCTATGTGTGTCTCGCTCTGTGTCTGTCTCTCTCTGTCTCTATGTGTCTGTCTTTCTCTGTATCTCTCTCTCCTCCATCACTCCAGCTCTCTCTCTGTCTCTATGTGTTTCTCTTTCTCTGTG